TGGCGCATCTGCCAGATGCCCGTCTCGTCGACGAACTCGTCGCCCGACTCGTCGTCCGTCGCGAGCACGCACTCCGTCGCCATGACCGCGCCCTCGCGCAGGAGCGGCGCCATCTTCGACAGCGCCGGCTCGTCGAGGAGCGACGCGGACACCAAGGTCCGCACCTTGTCCCGGAGCTCCCCGTCCAACGCCGCGTCCCCCGGCTCGAACGCGTAGGCCCCCAGCGCCCCCCGGGCCTCGCGCAGGGCCGTCAGCACGAGCGAGAAGGCGAAGTTGAGGTTCCGCAGGCGCTCCGGGTGCGCCTCCGGCTGGAGCCGCCGCCGGAACTCCGCGAGGCACTCGTCGTCGTCCTCCGAGAAGTCGTCGACGACGTGGCACGCGATGGACGCGTGCATGCCCGAGATGGACCGGTCGAAGACGGCGCGCCAGCCGTTCTCGTCGTCCTCGGGGCAGATGCCGCCGATGCAGGTCCTCCGCGCCTTCGTCGAGCCCGCGAAGGACAGGTTGTCGTAGATGAACCGCCAGACGTGGCTCCCGTCGTAGGCCGTGTAGCCCTCGGGGTAGGCCTCGAGGTCGTAGTAGTCCTCGCTCGGCAGGTCGAAGCGCGCCCAGGCGTCGAGCTCGAAGGTCCGCTCGCCGCCGTCGCGCTCGAGCAGCTCGAGCGGCGCGGGCTCCTCGGGGAGCACCTCGCACGCGTCGAACTCGCACTCGTCGACCGCGCCGCCGATGTAGGCGCAGTTCGCGAGCATGTCGATGCTGTAGAGGCTGAAGAACTTGAAGGACCGCAGCTCCTCGAGGTTGCTCAGGACCTAAGCGAACAGTTGGTCGTTCGGTTTCGTAAAACGGGAAGCGGCGCGGGTGTTCGGTTTCGTAAACGTCGCGCGGCGCGGGCGGACGCGCGTTGAGGTCCGCGGCGCCGAGGTCGGCGATGAGCTCCGCGAGCTCGGAGACGCTGTTCTCCGCGTCGACCGGCACGTCGAGCACGCGGCGAATGGTCTTGCCATTCAAGCCGCGGCGGCGCGCCAGCGGCGCCGGCAAGCGCTGGAGCGCCGACGCGGTCGCGACGAGCGCTACGGACCTGAGGATCATCGCGGCCGACGATGGAGGTCCACACGCAGCGCGAGCTCGTGGGCCGCCGGCTGGGCCCGTCTTCGACTGCGGCCTCAACACGGCCGCGAGCCGCCGCTCCTGGCGACGGCGGAGGACGGCACCCGTGGCGCCGCGATTTCGGACGCAGCCCGAAGAAGGCGAGGCGCTCGGACTCCGGGGACGAGGCCGAGGAGTAACGGTGTGTCAAACGAAACGACGTGTACCTTAGAGTGAAATGGGGGGGACGTCGCCTTCACAGGGGCGGCGTGACTCGAAGGAGGGGAAGTTCTTCGCCGCCGCGAGGGGCGGCGTCGGCGGCGGCGTGACCTGGCGCGGGCACGACGACTAGGCCTCGAACGCGGGCTTGAGCTCGTAGCCGAACCGGGAGACGAAGGCCTCCGCGAGCTCCTCGGCGCCCTGGAGCGTGAGCCCGAGCACGTCGAGCCAGAAGTCGATCTCCGCGAGCCAGGACGTGTTGCATTTCTGGCAGGTCCCGAGGCACCGCGCGTGGACGTTGTGCTCCTGCGTGTCGTCGGGCTTGTGCGCGTGCCTGCGGGGGTCGCGGGGGTCAAAGGATCGCGCGGCGCGCGGCGCGACCAGAGACGCCGCGGTCGTACTCGACGATGACGCGGCCGCCCTTCAGCAGGTACAGCACCCGGCAGATGTAGCACTGCTGCGCCTCGTCGTAGGTGCCCGCGGGCTTGTCCTCGAACGACGGGAAGCGGAGGCCGCGGAAGAGCTCGGGGAGCTCAGCGCTCGTCGGGAGCTCGTTCTTCGACGCGCCCGCCTTGAGCGCGAGGAGCAGGGCTTTGAGCTTGCGCAGCCGACCGTAGTGCGCTTTCTCCGAGTTCACGCGCGGCTGCGGCGCGCCGCCGTCGAACCGCAGCGCGTCGGCCGCGGCCTGGCGGCTGCGCTTCACGCCGGCGGCCTTCTGCCGCGCGAGCGTCTGCGTGTCTCGGACACGCTTCGTCCAACGCAGCGTCATCGACCCGCCCTTCTCGTAGTATTTCGGGATCACCCGCGCCGCGACGAGGATGTCGACGAGCTTGCCACTTGAAGGCGACCTTAATGACGGGCCCAGCGAGGACCACACGCCCTCGACGTGGCGCTCGAGGAGCTCGACATCCATGGCCGCGAACGCCGCGCGCGCCACGCGCGCGGACACGGGCGTCGCGTCGCCCATGACGGAGATGGCGTGCTTGGTCGGCTCCTCGGCGTCGTACTCGTATACCATGATTGCCGCCGGCTCGCGCAGGCCCATCCGACGGGTACGGCTAATGCACTGCGCGGCGTCCCGCGTCCCGACGGCCTCGGCGAGCTTCTCCCCGGCGTCGGCGTCGGAGGACCCGTGCAGCTCGAAGGCGACGCAGAGCTTCGCGTCTTCGTCGGCTGTCCAATCCGGCGCTACAGTGCGGACAAACCCCGTTTTCGACGACAGCCCGGACGAGTCGACGGGCGGCTCGTTCTCCTCGAGCCACTTTTTGAGCGCGCGCCGGTCGTTCGCTGTGTTGCCGGTCGTCTGGATGCCGATCTCCGGTCGCGCGAGGGCCTCCTTGACCTTCGCGGCGAAATCCTTGGTAGAGGAAGCGCCGCCGCCGCGAGCGAGCGTCCCCAAAGCATAGTAGTCGAGCGCATCGCTCGTGGAGGCGGCAGGAGCGACGGGAGGCACGTCGGCGGCGGCGTTGCGGGCCGACGCGCGGCGCCCTGCGTTGTCGGACGGCGCCTTCGGGGCCGCCGCGGCGGCGTCGTAGCTGTCGAGCGTCGCCTCGATGGCCTTGCGGATCGCCTTTTCGCTGATCTTGCTCTTCTTCGCTTCATCCGCCGGCAAACGCGCCAAGTGCTTCGGCTTGTCGCCGGGCCCGGGCTTGTACGAGATGAGGCGTGTGTCGGGGTTGTAGCAGTACGCGCGGGCGACGCCGCGGGCGCGCACCGTGCCAGTGACGACGTCCTTTGCCATCAAGGGCGACCAAGATCGACCGCTTCGGCTGCTTCGACGACCGCCTCGTGTAGTTTGAGGTGCTCGATCGGCCCCACTCGAGCCGCCCCTGTCTCGCGCCGCCGCGCGCGCCGGCCCCTCGTGGCCGCCCCGTCGTCGCCTCCACCCCCGACCGAGACAGCAGCATGTTTATTTCGAGGGGCCGCTCTTGTCGTCGTCGGCCGCGGCGCGCCGCGCGGCCGACGGCCCCGCGCGACGACGTCGGCGGGTCGGTCGTCGCAGGCCCACGTGCTCCTGCTTCTTACGCGCAGCGCTCGTGCTGGCGCGCGGTAGTCGAGGTGGAAGAAGCGGAAGACGTCGGCCTCCGTGCGGAGGTTGATGTTGCACTCCTCGTAGGTGGTCTCGTAGTCCTCGTTGCCGCTCTTGCCCATGGCGATGGTGATGCCGTTCTGGGACCAGGCCCAGTGCTCGCCGTCCTGGAGCTCGCGGCCCTCGATGAGCGAGCCGACGCGCGTGCCGTCGCGCGACACGTTCCAGCCGCGGTGGCCGACGATGGGCCGCCCGTCCGGCACCTCGGCCCAGCTGTTCTCGTGCGCGTGGTTGACGTAGTCGCGGAGCGACCGGCCAAAGGTCGCCGACCCGGAGTAGCCGAGCAAGCCGTGCGCGATGATCTCCGTGGGGCAGAGGAAGAAGTCGACCTGGCGGAACGCGCCCGGCACGGCCGGCGACCGCACGAAGCAGTGGCGGATGCCGAGCTTCGGCGCCTCCTTGGCGCCGAGGAAGCTGCCCATGTTCT